CCGACTACAAACTTATACGCCAAAATATTTAGAAAAGACTGGCGAGACGTCATCAAAAGTCTTAGAGAAATATTTCGTAAAGTCCCTCTGCGACTATAAAATCACAAACGCTTGGCGATTGGCCCCGTCGAGCACGCTAGCCATCCTAAACAAACGCACAGACCCATTGGTCCGCATACGTCCAACTACGATAAAATAACGCGCTATAAAAGAAATCCAAAGTTTTGGTCATCACTTCCGGGCAACTTAGAAATTGTTCCCGGTGAGATGCTCGATTCCAACCAGAGAATCGTATAAGCCGAGAACCTATCACGGATTCTAAATCGGTATGGAATCAGGTTAAAATTGAAACATGCAAAATGAAAGCCGACTAGTCATCGCATAGCCTCAATCTGTAAGTAAACGAGGTCTTGCCCTAAACCCAGCACACTGGTCTCTAACGTCTCAAGGCATGAATCGAGATACTAAAGGCATGTCTCTTCGCCCACATTTAAACACTCGCAAAAAATCGAAACATTCCGAGTAAACGAACCGGACGATCTACACTAAAGACTTAGATGCGAGACGACAACTCGTATTCTTCCTTCTACATCTAAAACGAAACAAAGATTTCTTACTTAGAAAATATTTTTATTAATATTTTTTGTCTAAAACACAACGCCCGCCGGTAGGGATTCAAAGCCACCAACGGCCAGTCCCGATAAAATTACAAAGCAACGCCATACTAAAAACAAACACATCATTCATCGAAATAAAACCGGACGCCAAACTTTGGCCAGAGTTAGCATCAATCCACGGCTGATCAACTTCACCCTCCCCACCTGGGATCTCTGGCCCAACTTTGACTGAATCCGACGAGACTACAATGGGATTCCACTGATCCCACATCTGCGCCCTAAGGTCAAAGAGTTCGGGCTGCATATCTTTCCTTTGATCGTGAGTCGTGAGCCAAACTTTACGATTAACTCGAGAAACTTATTTAAAAACGGGATCGCATCAGTAAAAGATCTCGTATAAAGTCGTAGAACGGTTTTATCACAAAACGGCTCGGAAAATCCTAAAACGCGATATAAGCCTATTCGCGACTTTAACAAAGGCAGCCCAAAGAGACGACGACGGTTTGACGATTTACTCGCAGAAAGAAGATAAATGTCAAATTTGAAGATAAATGTCAAGTTTGAGGATAAATAGAAGATTTCCGCGGGAAAAAAAGGAAAGATCAAAAATAAATGGAAGATTCTCGATAAACTCAAATCTGGGCGTAATGGAAGGACTAAACCGCCTGGAAGGGAGTTTATACGCAGAAGGCAGATGACGATTTTCAAGAGCTTTCACCACCAGAAACTTAGCACTTAGGGTTTTTTCCGTTTTTGTTATCGAGCTGCGTCTCAACTAGGGTTTTAGTCTTAGAATGCTATGGTTAAGGATCTCGCCGACGGCTCACATGGCTAAGGCTTACTCTGGTTGTACCGTTCTTACGCAAATTCGAAATAAGACTCTTTTCGTTCTCAATCTCACTATTTAAAATCTTTGTTTCATACTTGTCGTGTTCTTGATTTTTCTTGTGCGGTTCCGCAGATAGCCGGATCCTCTGGGAAATTAGGGTTCTCTAAATTCCTATATTTACGTAATCTTGACAGTAGGTGAATTTCGGTTCCCACATATACTCTCTCTACTTGATATCCAGATTTAACCGTATATTTACCAGTCTTTGTAAAATGCCATCCATGCTTATCTTCCAAGTGAAACCTGCTGATTGGTATGCTTGCGATAACTTTTACATCATGAGGATCAACCAGAGCCCGAATTGCCTACATATTCCAACTTTGAGAAGTAGTGTTAATTAGAGCCTCGACCGTAAGTTCCAGATAAAGGTTGTGTTGATTTTTATTCGCTGGTCTCGGGCGAGTGGTTGGGAGCCAGAGATCATTCCATACATATATGGAAGATCCTGATCCCACCCGTTTGATAAGTCCTTTGGTAACCAAAGATCTAGCAGAGACCAAGCTCCTCCAGCCATATGATGGGAGTATGATCGAATCGGTTAGAGGGGTGATGAATTCCTATAATACCGACCTTTAAAAACTCTTGCAAATAATTTTTTTGGTTTCTCTATCAATCGACATAGTTTCTTGCCAAGCATAGTTGTATTAAAATCATCCAAATCTTTAAATCCCAAGCCTCCTACCTCTTTATTTTCACAAATTTTGTCCCACAATTTTCAGTGCATTCCCCTTATACTCCTCCTAGGGCTCCACCAAAATTGCGCGACTGCGCTTGTTAGGTTCTTTGTGGTTGTTTTAGGTAGACTATAGCTAGACATTAATGGTTTGGTAATGCCGCGATCACTGTCTTTATGATAACTTCCTTTCTCCCCTTGGTAAATAACTTGAACGTCCACCCATTGACTCTATTATTCAAACTTTCCTGTAAAAATCCAAACACTTGGACTTTGGATCCACCGAGGCTCTCCGGTAATCCGAAATATGATTCCATTCCTCCTAAGTTTTGAATTCCTAAAATATCCCTTAGCTCCTGGCGGTTTGTCTCCTCAATCTTATGTCCAAACTGAATTGAAGATTTTTAAAAGTTAATCAATTTTCCCGAGGCAACCTCATACTCCTTAAATATCCTGAGTATAGTATTACACTCTTCCGGCTGTTCCTTACAAAAAATAGACTATCATCTGAAAAGTAGATGAAAGATCGATGGACAAGCTCTGGCCACTTTCATCCCCGTCAACTGTTTTTGACGCTCCGCTTTTCTGATGTTTGTAATTAACGCCTCCGTACACATGATAAATAGATAAGGGGACAAGGGATCTCATTGTCTTAACCCTCTTTGTGGAACAATATTTTCACGTGGCTGACCGTTAATTAGAACCCGATACTTAACTGACGATATGCACCCCATCATGAGATAAATCCAATGAGGATCATAGCTCATCTTATGGAGTAGAGCTTGAATGAAATCCCACTCCACCATATCTTATGTCTTGCTCATATCCGTTTTGATTGCCATAAACTTGGTCTGACAAGATTTATTAGTCCTTAAGCCATGGAACATTTCCTGGGCTATAAGGATATTATTTGATATTAACCTGCCCGCCACAAACGTCGATTGAATCTCCGAGATAAGTTTTGGTAGACAACTTGGTAACCTTTGACACCAGACTTTTGAGATAATCTTATATCCCACATTACAAAGACTTATTTGTCTTAGTTCGGTCATCCTTGTTCGTCTTTCCGTCTTAGGAATCATGCAGATATGGGTCATATTTAGTTGTGAATTCAAAGTCCCTGATACCAACAAACTATTCACCAGGTCAACCAAATCTTGCTTAATGATATGCCAAGAATGTTGGAAGAATAGAGCGGTCATTCCATCTAGCCCTGGCATCTTCCACGGATGAATCATAAAGAGGGCGTTCTTTACTTCATCCTATGTGGCTGTTTGTAGTAGTATGTGATTCATTTGAGAAGTAATCGTTTCTAAAACCTCATCCAAGAAATTTCCGAATTCAGATGGGGAGGTAGTGGTAAATAGTTTCTCAAAATAATCCACGGCTACTTTTTCCACCCCCGTTTCCTCTGTGACCCAGTTCCCGTCTTCATCGTGAAGCCCCACAATTTTGTTGCGCACTCGTCTTTGTTTTGTCAGTGCATGATAAAAATTAGTGTTCAAATCCTCACAAGAATACCACATGTTGCGACTCTTCTGATGCCAATAATCCTCTTCATCCTTATATGTATCATGTAATTTCCTAGATACCTCCAGAATATCTTCGTGAGACCGACTATCGTCCATTTTCACTTCCTCCAGTGCTCGCTGTAGGTCTTGTATTTTATCCTGTCCATATGGCAGGTTATCCTTCCGCCATTTAGCTAATTCGTGCCAGAAATTACCAATTTTTGTGAATAAATTCATTGCCTAACCATCCTTAGTTTCGTCCAGCCAGAAATAATTGATTCCATAAGGCCCTATTTTCCAATCCACCGCTTATCAAACCGAAACTATCCTCGCTTTCTTGGAACCTTGTCATCTATATAGGCCACCACTGGTCTATGATCCGACCCCACCATCCCTAGGTACTCTGTGTAAGAGCAGGGTAAAACGGTGTGCCATTCTTCATTGTCCCCCCTTACGGTCTACCAGAGGCAGAATACCTACATCAATCACTGTCCCCCTCTTCCTTGTAACCCTTTTTGCTGCATTTAACTTTAGACCTTGAGATAACAACCATTCGTAATACTTCATCCTTGTGTAATACAAATGTTTTGTCTTCCCCGAATAAAAATGGCTGTCCATAATCTCCAGGGGTGTGAATGCCTTTCTCATGAGGTGATGACCTTGTATCCTCAAAGTATAATTATTCTGTAGCCATCTTGAAGTTTCAAATTCTTAGAGTTCCTTTCCACTTTCTATTTGAAATAAGGAAATCAGGCTTCTCGTGTAAAACAAAACCCAACACATTTGGTTTGATGATACTAAATGCATTAGACCCTGCAGCAACCAGGACCACCCTCCACTCAACCATAACCAGAAACCAAATTTGTTCCAATATCTACACCATATCCTGATATCAATTCTTAAAATATAATGAAAATGAAGATAGAAGAACCTGCTTCTCAGCAACAATAGAATACACCAAAGCATCACATGAAAACAATCCAACCAATATTGAAGTATCTTCCAAAACCTAGACCATCATTGCCATATTACTGAGTTGGAATTAAAACCACCGATCAGGCAAATCACTCCTACCAATACTGTCAAACACCAGTGCCAACAATCCCAACTTTCTTTATTATTCATTTGGAAAATCATTTCCAGAGACATAGCATACAAACAAAAGAAAATAAAACCTCGGTCCACAATGACCATTAACACAATTGAAAACCAAATGCTCAAAGAGTTTTTTGCAATAACTAAAAAACCAAACCCATAAACCTTAACCTGCGTGTGTGCCTTCCCTGCTAGTTTGACTTGTTTCATAAATATTATGTCTTCTTTTGCCCATTTTTCAGAGTTGCAGGACCCTTACTTTCTGGTGGTTTCGGATTGTCTCCAAGTTTTATTCCCCTTTTTGCTACACCACATTTACGTGTGGAGGGGAGGTCTGAGGCCGTTCTCAGCTTGGAGCTTCCGGCCATGCTTGGTTTGGAGTTCAAGGGTTTCTTCTTCGCTCCTTGATTCTTTGCCTTCTCTCCTATCTGCGTCTCTTTTGTTTCCACAGCTAACTCCTGATCCGCACCATTCGCGAGAGTATCCTCTAACTATATAATATTTTTAATGAAATCATTAATTACTTCTCATTGTTTAGGAAACTGAATATAAAACCATATTTATGAATATAAAACAGACTCTATGAATTCGGTAATGGATCTTTTTTTATTTTATCAAGTTAAATTTTCCTAGAATTTTTTTATCGTATTCTTTGAAAATGAGATTTTCATAAAAAAAAATATTGCATTCTAATATAGTACTACTACTACATAATAATAGAAATGTCATTATTTATAATATTTATATAAGTTTGTTAACAATTGTTTGAGTACAATTTATAACATCTGAAATATTCTTTTTATACAAACTTACATCAATATATTGTCATTCTTTTTTACATTTAGATTCAGTAATATTCTAAAAGAATGTGTTATTGATAGGTGCTAATCTATTTTACCAGCTACAAACTCATATCATGTAAACCCAATTATTATTAATGAAAATTGATGATGAATTTTTAATAATTTATATACAGTGTATATGTAATCTTAACTAACTTTTATAGAATGTATATATAATTTTACTAGAATTGAAATATATCATATATTTATATCAAACAAATATTTCATATAAAAGAGCTAATTAAATATAAATTTTAAACACTTAATTAAATAAAAAAATCACAAATTTAAAATTATATAAGAAGTTTCATTCATCTCTTAATATATTGAAGATTATTTATTTTTTTACCAGGTCGGCCAAAAGTCGGGTCACATTTGATTGTGGAGATTTTCGAAGTTTACATTCTTTAAATTAACGAGTTTTCATGAAATCTAAATCATCTTATATACAAGTTATCTTGTTTACCGGTTCGACCGCAGATCCGAACTTGATATAAAAGTATTTTTCTCATCTAATTTAAAATCATTTATTTTAGAATAATAGATATGCCGAGTCTGATCAAGCCATATAACTTAAACAATATATTGACATCGAATATAAGACATATGACGTGATCATTATCTTATGTATAGAATGCATTTACAAAAAAAAATAACATATATTGTTCCGTTAATATAAAAAAGTTCCAATGGTTTACTTATGTTTAGTATAGATTCTAATGAGTAATTTTAAAATGTAATGGTTTATACATATTCAAAGATGACGTCGAGGATGTCTTATTAAAAATTGAAAGTGTAAAACGTTCTTGTTTGAGTTTTTTCTTTCTCGGAAAACATTGTCGCTTGAGAATAACAATACAACATTTACAAATCATGCTTATAGTATTGGTTTATTCGGTTGACGGTCGGTTGGGTCAAAAGTTTAAAGGGAAAATTTCAATTATACAATTACAATAAATTTAAAATACAATTACAAATAGCAATTTTAAAAATGAAAGAACATGATTAAAAATATAGGAAAATTTTAAATTTTATTTTCTTTACTTTTTTATATTTCACATAAAAAATAAAAGATAATTTGAACATATTTCTGTAACAAGTTGGAGTTAAAAAAAACTATTGACTCTACTCGTTCGGATGGGTGTTCACCCCAAAGTGTTCCCAAAATAAATATACAATAATATTAAAATTAATAAGTATTTAAATATAAAATGCATATATTCAAATTTCTTTTAGATTTTGAAAATAACAATTTAAATCAAACTGGGTTACATATCAGTGCATTAGTTCAACGGGTTTTAAATATTTATTATGGGTTTTTAAATAATAGATAATTTTTTAAATCAAACCCAATTACGTATCTGCTCATTGAATTTATCGGTTCGATCCCTGATCGAAAAATATAAAATCACTGATAGAAATACAACATTTTTCTAACAGAAAAAATTTATAAATTAACAAAACATTTGTAAAATTGTTATTAGAATTTTTCATCACAAAATATCTCGCGTTTTTCAAAAAGTGGGTCAGAATCTAATTTCCCTTTTAAACTGATATTTACATTTATAGCCAAACAAAAAGACACATGATAAGAAAGAAAAATGTATTCGAGAATGTTAACTGTGGTCTAAAAAAGGATTAATAGCTAGTTAATGAAATTTAAAGTGATGAATTAAGAATTACACAGAGGTAAACATCCTTTATTAACATTTTTTCATTGAGATCATGAGCATCCTTTTGAAATTTTAAAGAAAATTAGCTTTTTAATGAACTAATGCAAATATTTTTAGGCAAACAATGGTACAATGGTTTTCTCTGCCTAAAAAAAAAAAATGAAACGTTCACTTCGACATTACTTCTTGATAAGACCAGAGTATCAAATATTTTTTTGCAGTTTCTATAATTATCTTAAGATAAAAATAATAAGATTTTGTAATGTAATAACTTAGGCATGCCGGTAGAATTTTGTATCTTAATGTTTTTTTGCCAATTGTCTTGTTTTTTTTTTCTGAACGTTTGAAATTTTAACGATGAACACTTCGACATTACTTCTTGATAAGACCAGTGTATCAAAGATTTTTTTGCAGTTTTTATAATTATCTTAAGATAAAAATAATAAAATTTTGTAATGTAATAACTTAGGAATGCCAGTAGAATTTTGTATCTTAATTTTTTTTTGCCAATTGTCTTGTTTTTGTTTTTGAACGTTTGAAATTTTAACGATGATAATATTTGTTGTTTTATTTAAAATATGCACTTATGAAAACGTAGAACTAACAAAAAACACAGGTGATGAACCATAAATGTTTGTTTCTCTCTTATGTCTATATTATTATTATTTTTAAACAAAAAATAAAAATGTAGCCAACCAGATAAAAAGTAGTCAAAAATAAAAAAATAAATGTCTATTATATGATTATATCGTAATATCATGTGACTTGTCACATCAATTAGTCATATATCGTATATTAATTTAAATTCCTAAATTTTCAACTGCATATATAGCAATATATGATAGTGTTTTTTTGGTGTAGATGTTAGCAATATGTGATAGTTGATATGATCAGTCGTAAGATAATAAAACGAGGTGACATGTGACTGATTGTTGTAATATATCATAAATTCAGATCTTTTACAACCACAAACTATGAATATCTAGAAACTAAGATCTCTTGGTAGACCCTTGCACATTTGTTTGATATTATAAAGACAAACCATAGACGAAAAATAATATTTTTGGTAGACCCACATATGTCTGAAATAAATAAATATATATATCCTATTCCTATATCACACACGCAACGACTGTGATGTTATTAGCATGTATAACGCTGGAAACCTAATTAAAGCTCTAATGTACGATCCATTATCGCGACATCGACCAAACCACTACTAGTACTACTATACAAAAACGATTACTATTATAAAGAAACTTATTTTATATTGGCTAAACATTCCCTGCTTTTTGAAAAATTTACGTGTCCTGATTAGTCTGATTGTTTTTATATTTTTGACATTACATTTTTGATTCACCTTATTTGCTGTCAACATTGGCCTGCATTATTAATTGTGGGGCACATCTGGACATTATTAATGTGGGGCACACCTATGTGAGTTTAGAACCTTGCATGGGTACGTGTTCACGTGACAATTTATTTATCTTTAGCTAACTTGCTATCCGAGCCGTGACAAACTTTGATAATAAGGGAAGAAGATTCGACGAGGGAAAATAATTTGATTTGGGGTAAATGGCATCAGACCAGTAGGGGTGGCATCAGTGGCCGACCAACAAACACCTATTCTATTACTAAAACTGATTTGGTTTAGGTAATCAAAACTAAATAAATCAACCAATAAACTCGAATTCCCTATACAAAGATCGTATCTATCTAGAAAATAAGACAATTATACCTTCAAGGAACATGACAAATCTTGATTGAAATGTGTTTTATCTCTTCCAGACTCAGTTGAGAAGTTTGGACATGATTCATGTTGGGATTATTAAAGTCTATGCCAACTCTGATTTTCCTGATTAGTATGATATTGTCTACTTTAAATCTATTAGGCAAGTTTCATGGATTTATTTTTAGTTTATTTTATCTCGTACTATTACAGTTGAATTTCTCTTTATATATTAGACACTCCTTGTTTAATTTTCCAATGTGAGACTTTGTTTATTATCTCACATTCTCCCTTTTAAACTAAGGACTACATTCATCTCATGTGTTTATTATTCAGCGAATCATCTTGGCACCACCATGTATCAAGAATCGCAGGGTTTCCTTTGAGAATGTTTCTCCCACAACATCACAAGGTCCATGACTTTCTGACTAGTTTTTGTCATAGACCTCCTCTTCCTACTAAAAGGGTCTCTTTCCATCTTGAAGGGTATTTTAGTCTTCTTGCATAACTTCGTCGAACCGCTCTAATACCAATTGTTGGGTTTGTGAAGGCCAATGTCCAACTCTTTAGTATCCGATTAGTACGATATTCTCCAATTTGAGCCTAATAGGCAACCCCACATGGATTTACTTTTGGTTTTCCTTTTCAAAAGGCCTCGTACTAATTAGAGTTGGACTTCTCTTTATATATTATACGCTCCTTGTCTAATTCTTCAATGTAGGATTTTGTTTATTATCTCGCATTCTCCCCCTTAAACGAAGGAACACATTCATCTCTTGTGTTTTTCCTTTAGCCAATCCTCTGGCTTCATTTTGTATCAGTAATCGCACGGCTTCCTTTGAGAATGTTTTTCCCACAACATCACAGGTTCTATGATCTTCTGACAGTTTATGACACGACCTCCTTGAAGGATCCCCATTCATATCTTAAATGGTATTTTGGTCTTCTTACATAATTTCTTCGAACCGCTCTGATACCAATTGTTGGGAATTTGAAAGCCCATGTTCAACTCTTTTTAATCCGATTAATACGATATTGTCCACTTTGGGCCTATGAGGCTGGCCCACATGGACTTACTTTTGGTTTCCTTCCCAAAGACCTCGTACTATTAGAGTTAGATTTCTCTTTATATATTAAACACTCATGTCTAATTCTCCAATATAGAGACTTTGTTTATTATCTCACTATTCAGATTCTCTAATCATGTTTATCAGGTTCTGTAATCATGTTTATCAGATCCATGCAATTTGTTCCAAAATTCTGACATATAGAAATATTTAACATACT